ATATTGGAGGCGATCTCTCATCACCTCCAAGTCGATCAAACTCACAGACGAGGAAAGCGAAACGGGGCAAGTTCAACAGCATTTTCCATTCGCATGACCATAGTGATGATCACAAACACGAATTCCGCCCAGAATCTGCTGGAACAGACAGGAAGGCCAGATCTCGGCAGACCAGCGAGGAAACTCCAGACGACAAAGAGGACAAACACATCGGAACAGCCATCCTAGCAGCTCCTGGTGCTGTGATGAATCTACTCGGTCACCGCAAGAATGATAGTGTCAGTAGCTTGCCTAGCCCGGATAAGCTACGTCGCAGGGACACCCAGGAACCACATTCAGCTGTCACAAGATTCTTCAAGGGCGTGAAGAATGAGGGCACCAAAGTCGGTGATATCATCTTCAGAAGAGACCGGGCCGACGACTCAGATGCGGACACCGTGTCTGATCGCAACTCTGTCGATTTCGACGATTATGGCACTGTCAAAGCCAAGCACAACAAACGGCCACCGATGAGTCGGACCGTCACGGCAGGGACAGATGGTAGTGTTACCAACAACGACCGCAACCATCTTGATCTACCTTCGTTTCGGCCAATTCACACAATCCCCGATGAGGAATCGGATTTTGAGCATCACATCTCACGTCAGGCGCGAGAGCAGAAGAACAGTCGCTCTCCTAGAATTGATCGGCTTTTACCACCACGTATGGACCTTGGTACTATATCCGGGAACTCTTCCGCAGGAGATCTTACTCTTACCCAGAGCCATAGTCAGGAGCGCATCAATGAAGTCCTCGCTCGGCCTGGCGGTGACATGGTGGGCCTCCCTCCCACTGGACTCCGAAACGCACAGGGCTCGCATAGGCAGCGCAGTGCCTCTCGGCCCGGGCTTAACGGGAGACATTGGAGCATTGCCGACGGCGATGATAATGCTCCTGATCGTAACAAAAACGCGAATGGTGTTACCCAAGCGGACATCGCTCGAGTGCGCGCTCTATTCCTCTGCTCAGGCGTCAAAGCAAGGGAAATCGACCGGCGCGCGCACAGTATAAGAGATCCGCCTCCCGACTTCCTGAGTCGCGCTGCCGCTACATCAAAAATGCGAATCTACCCCGTTCCGCGCAAGGAAGAGCACGTTCTTGCTGCACGCATGTTGGTCAAAGATCTGGAGTCATCCACAAAGGCACTACAGTCCTCACTTGAGTGTTTCCGCGATAAAGCCATTCAGCAACTCACCAACCAGATCTCGGCTTTGCAATCTACGGTGGACTCGGACCTCATGCCGCGTATCCTAGAAAGCGGGGACCAAGCTGTGCGCATCACAAGTGAGGTTTCTGGACAAGGCCCCCTGCAGGTCAAGCAGATCACAGACGAGATTGACCACATGATTCGCACGCGCAAACGCAGGATGCGCTGGATCCGAGGATTTGGGTGGATGCTTGTTGAATGGGCTCTCGTCGCGCTCATGTGGTGTCTTTGGCTCATCGTTGTGCTCGTCGGATCTGTCAAGAGAGTATTTGGTGTGGGAATTGGAGTGATCAGGTGGCTGCTGTGGCTCTAGGTGTGCCCAGTAGTGTTCAGTTTATTTTCTTGCATACGACGGCGTTAGATATTTTATCGGGATCTTTCCTTTGTGGGCGTTTTGGATAGTGGGTAACAGGCTTGCATACTGCGATACCACGCGTTATAGACTGTTGTACGAATATTGGATGGGGCTTTCTTGGCTACGTAGGCATACATATAAAATTGTAATAACGTCGACTGGGTTCATCATGCGCGCATTAATTGTACTGGACGCCTTAGGCCCTCTAAACATATCTAGTGCATGATTGGACGAGCTCGGGTCTGTCATGTTGGTTTGCTGTCTCAAAGTGAGTCGCACGTGATCTGCATGAATCCGCGCCACTGACGCGTCTACGTCATCGGCGTCCTTGCTTGACAGGCTTCACCCATCGCTCTCCGCAACACTAGTCAACACAGGCAGAAGCGCGCAAAGCCTCCGTCACAACCTCTTCCGCTTTGCCAATCTGCAATTTCTCGTCCTGCATCGGCTATGAGGCATTGCTAATCAGTTCTTGCCCCACAACAGACACCCGGCATGGATCTTCAGACGGTGTTCGTCGCCAAAGACCATGGCACCAGCCATGTCCAGTCGGTACGTACCTGCGTCCACACCCCGACTTTACTCAAAACGCGTGTACTAACATCCCCTGTCACGAAGTCTAGCGGCCCTTCTTCGTTCGCGTCACTCGCTGCAGCTTTCGTGCCCACGGCCGTGATTGCGACTTTGTACATGGTCGCGTTTGTCCTCATCTGGCGCCGCTTCCCCAAGATCTACTCACCACGGACGTTTATTGGCACCGTACCAGAGAAGGATCGCACGCCATGTTCGAAATCGCCGGGCTACTTCGAATGGGTCCACACCATGAGGACCGTTCCGGACAAGTTTATGCTATACCACCAGTCGCTTGATTCGTACTTGTTCCTGCGATTCATGAGGACTCTTATCTTCATCTGCGTCGGCGGTGCAGTCATTACCTGGCCTATCCTTCTGCCTGCCAATTATACCGGTGGCGGCAATTCCAAGGAACTTAATCGCGTTGGTATCGGCAATGTGAAGCACAAGGACCATCTCTATGCGCATGCCGTTGTGGCATGGATATTTTTCAGTTTTGTCATGTTCACTGTTGCGCGGGAACGCCTATGGCTCATCGGACTGCGACAAGCATGGAACTTATCGAAGCCGAACGCGAAGAGGTTGTCTTCACGCACCGTACTCTACCTCTCAGCACCTACTGCAGCTCTCGACGAAGGCAACATGCAGCGGTTCTTCGGCGACGATGCAGTCAGGATCTGGCCAGTCACCAAAGGCGAGAAGCTTGTGTCGCTCGTTTCAGAGAGGAACTCGAAAGTCGAGGAGCTAGAGGGCGCTGAGATGTCCCTGATCCTGAACGTCAACAAGGAAGTTGGAAAGAGCCATAATCGAAACATCAAGTATGAGCAGCTACCCAAGCAGATGAAGAAATCCCTACGACCTACACACAAATCCAAGACACCAGTGGTTGGCAAGGAAGTTGACAGCATCAGCTATTTCCGAGACCAGATTAAGGAGAAAGAGAATGACATCGAGAAGGCTCGCGAATCGAACGAGACAGCTGAGAGTCTTGGTGGAGCTGCGGCGGTCTTCGTTGAGTTTCGCACCCAGCCCGCGGCTCAGAGAGCCTACCAACAGATCGCATCGTCTGACATTCTGTCTCTCACCCCTCGCTTTGTCGGTACTACGCCCAATGAAGTTATCTGGGCCAACCTGAACCTAGCACCTGCGCGTCGGATATCTCAGAGTGGAGTTGCCATCACCCTAGTCGTCGCTGTCATCATACTTTGGTCCATTCCAGTTGGAGTAGTCGGTGCATTGTCGAATGTTGAATATCTCGCCGAGAATTTTAAATGGCTCGCGTTCCTCAACAAGCTTCCATCCGGACTTATGAGCCTACTTAGTGGTCTCCTACCTTCTCTGGCCTTGAGCGCGTTGGCTAGCTACGTACCTAAAATCTTTAGGTGTAAGTGTCCTCCTTTGACCTATATTGCTACCTTCGGGCTGACATGATGCAGACATCTTTACAAAATTCGGAGAGCCGACTAAGACTGTCATTGAGCTGAAGGTGCTCAAGTGGTACTTTGTCTTCCAAGTACTGCAGGTCTTCCTTGTCACCACACTCGCTTCAGGTGCTGCAGCGGTAGTATCGCAAATCGTCAAAGACCCAAGCCGAATACCACAGCAACTCGCGGAGCGTTTGCCGAGAGCATCAAACACCTATCTGGCGTACTTCATTGTCCAGGCTTTGACCAATGCCCCAAGTAACATACTGAACTACACCGACGTGCTGTCGTATGTTTTCTATGACAGATTCTTCGATAAGACCCCCCGTCAGAAGTACAACAGCTTCATCACAATGAGGGGCATGGCTTGGGGCAAGCTATTCCCGAAGTACGGCAACTTTGTCGTCATCGGTAAGTCATCTCAGATATCACAGACGACCTGTTACTGATCTATCGCAGCGATTGTTTACTCCTGTATCGCGCCTCTCGTTCTTGGCGTCGCTGCTATCGGTCTTGTAATCTTCTACTGGTGCTACCAGTACCAGCTGTTGTATACCGCGACACCGAAAATCGACACTAAAGGACATGCGTACACGCTTTCTCTGCAGCATCTTCTCACTGGTGTCTACATAGCCGAGCTGTGCCTTATCGGTCTCTTCAGTTTACGCGAAGCGACTGGTCCTCTAATCATGCTTGTCGTTCTACTTTTCGCCACCGCCATCTTCAACTATATCACGAACCGTTACTTCGCTCCACTCGAACGATACCTACCCGCGGATCTCGCGCTCGACTCTGAAGACGGTGAGCAGGCACCACTACTGTCTTCGGCAGAGGAAGGCGAATCTGAAGCTCTTCAGCACGCAGAGTCGAGGATTGATCGCGTGAGCGAACGGACGCGTGTGCCGTCCAAGGTCGTCTCGCCTGTTGCCCGGTTCCTACAGCCACACGTCTTCGGTAGCTACACTGCCTTGAAGGCTTGGCTACGTGACGGCGAATTTGACGAAGATGAGGAACCTCAATACAGCGAAGAGGACCTGAAGAAGGCCTATCTGAACCCTGCTTTCACGAGTAAGACGCCGGTTGTTTGGTTGGCAAAGGACAGTATTGGCGCGAGTAAGCATGAAATTAGTGAGAACGAGAAGACGGGACTGAACGCTACCGATCAGGGTGCGTGGATCACGGGCGATGGGAAGTTGAAGTGGAGTGTGGATAACTTCGAAGAGGTTCCTGTGTTCAAGAAGGCTATCAAGTGGTGAGGGCATGAGGGATGGGCGAGACTGGAGTTAGGGCAGTAAAGACGAATACAAGGGAAAATTCAGGAAGATAATCTCGTAAATTCACGAATCCTGTTGTTGCATGTCGCTGCAGACCACATCAGTCGTAGCCGCGTACCAATCAGCCCCTACTCTTCCTCGTCGTCCTCACCCTCTCGCTGCTCCTCAACAATCTTCTTCCCCTCCTTCACCAACGCCCCTTCATCCTCACCATCGTCCTCCACTCCAGCTAGAACAGCAGTCTTCACATACGCCAATTTCTTCACCTCGCTCTCGTGGAATAACTTCATGATTTTCCCGTACACAGGGTTCTTCTTAGGGAAGAAAGACAGACAAGCTAGGTCCTGGGGCGTGAGACTGTACTTGTTCTTGCACTCTGTTTGATTGATGACGTCGGATGGCTCTTCGGTGAGGTTCGAGTCGGCGGCGAGGGTGTGTGAGGATATGTATGCTGACCACTTTTGCTTGGGTGTTTTTTCTTTGGTGGGCTTGGTGGGTTTAGCTGGTGCTTCCTTCTTCGATTTCTCGGGTTTGGCTGGGGCGTCCTTCTTCTCTTTTGTCGGCGTGGACTTGTCAGCCTTCTTCACCTTCGTCGATTTCGCTTCGTTCTCAGTCTCAGGATCGTCTTTGTGTCTGGAATCTCCTGTTAGTATATCTCCTCTCTCAGATAACACACATATCAACTTACTCTGCTTGCCAAATCTCCTCCCCCTTCCTCAAAACTTCCCCATCACCCCCCTGCACACCCTCCAGCATCCCCATCTTCCTGAAGCACAACTCCTTCACATTGTCCTTTATGAACAATTTCATCGTGCCACCATACAACGGGTTCTTCTTCTCGTACCGCAGTAAAGACGTCAGCTCCTCTTTCTTGAGCCCGTACTTCTTCAGCGCGTCGGTCTGCGTGATACTTTCTTCCTTGTCGGGCTCTTCTTCTAGCATCTCGCCTTCGACGGTGTGGGCTGCGAGCCAGTCCTGCCAGTTTTGTTTGTGCAAGGCTTTGTCGGCTTTGACCTGCTTCTCGTGGGCTTCGTTGGCTAGGGTCTCGGGGTCTTTCTTTTGACGCTTGGGCTTGGGGGCGGTTTCGTTGGCAGAAGCATTATCATCGTCATTGTCGGATTCGGCGGGGCGCTTGGGGTTCATGAGGGCCTTCTTTCCTGATACGGTGGTCGCATTTGGTGCTGCTTTTGTCCTCTTTGTAGGCCCAGGTTTCTTGGGGGTAGCTGTGGAAGTCTTTCTGGGCTTTCGCTTCTTGTCCTCAAAATCCGAGCCTTCGGATGCGGATGTGTATTTCACCGCTTTGGTTGCGCGGCCGGACTTGCGTGTCGACATCTTTGTTCACGATGTGATGTTTGTTCTTCGGGTATTCTGAACACGGAAGGATTTGTAATTGTCAGATCAGTAACGGCTGCTCGTAAGAAATTCCGTCGAGGGCGAATGCTGAAGCGAATTCTCCAGACAGAAGAGGGAGACGGGCCGTGATTGTTTATAGGTCGGAGACTTCCGTAATCTCTCGCGTCTTACGACAAGAAAAGGACAAAGCAGGTTTCACGTTGCAGTGTTCCTGCCGGATCGGATTGGGCAAGTTCGCGTTCAAAGGAACGCTTGGACTTACGCAGGAGCGATTGTGAGATTGGACGCTACGTCATTACGGCGATCGTGCTGCGAAAACCGTGTTTTAGGTGCCGTCTTGCGATAATGTATCAGATCAGTGCAAGAGGCCAATATACTAATTAAGGGGGTTTTTGTCAAGTTCTTTCTCTCCTACGAGTGCGTACTGGCGTTGACCAGCCCTGCACGTGCTAGCATGGGCACTATTTGCATTGAGCCTAGTTTAGGCGCGCATTGAGCTAAGTCAACTGGCATACCTTAGGTTGCTACTGCTTGCTTCTCATCATGGGAATCGATTGCATTTCCTCAAAACTGCAATGAACCTCCCTATTCAGTCAACGCGCAGACTATCTATCCTCTCCACAACATCCATGCCATCCACACCCTTGATCAGATCTGCCGCCTTCTCTGCAACAGCATACACCAGACTAACAATATTCCCCTGTACATGCGTTGGGAAGATACTAGCATCCACCACCCTCAGTCCCTCTACGCCGTGAACTTTGAGTTCCGCATCCACGACGCCGCCTTTCTCTTTTGGCAACATGGCACAAGTACCAACGGGATGATACTCCGTCACCGTACTATTCTGCACAAAGGTCTTCGCTTCTTCCAGTGTCTTGGGCACTGGGCCGGCGGTTTTAGACGTGATGAGGTTGCCATCGGGGTCTCGGCGGAGGACTGAGGCAAGCGGCTCTACGGATGTGAAGGAGATACAGTGAAGGAGCGCTCGGGCCATCATGTCGAGGTCGAGGGGATGAGAGAAGTACGCTGGGTCGATTGTAGGATACGCGGTAGGGTCAGAGCTGTTGATGTGTACACTACCGCGAGACAGAGAACGTGTACTGCATGCGCCAATGGTGCACCACATACCCTCTTCTACAGACGGAAACAGTCCGCTAGCCGACTCTGGGTTCTGCATCTGTGCGCCCGTAGGCAGCATTACGATTTGACAAACTGCTTCTTTAGGATCGAGGAGTTGGCGCCCATAGAGGGTGTCGCGACCTGCAGGGTCGGCATCGGGATGTCTACTGCGGAAGTCTTCAAGGAGAGATTGGATGTGCGACTCTGCGTTTGGAAAGTCGGGTTCGATCTTTGCAAGTGAGGCGAAGCCTGTCGTTGTAGGCGCTCCTGCAAATGGGCCGGCTTTGTGGGTAATGTATGCTTCTAGGGCTTGCTGCATGACAGCTGGGTTCTGGACGAGAGCTTCGGCGGTTGGGTATTCATCTTTTACACCCTGGGGAAGGTCAGTGCATGGAAGTAACCGAAGCAATATATACACTTACCAGTACGAGACCAGTCGCTGTATGATCGGACAAGTTTTCCCCGACGCCAGGGAGATCAACGAGGACGTCAATTCCAGCCTTTCCAAGTACAGTAGAAGACCCGATACCGGAGAGTTCTAGGATTTGGGGGGAGTTGACAACCCCGCCGCAGACTATGACCTCTCTGCTCGCCTTCATCGCGTGCGTAGTGCCATCAACTGTGAATTGAACACCGGTGGCCTTGACACTCTCCGCGGTCTTCTCAAGCTCGATTTTAGAGACCAGCGCATGAGTGATAAGAGTCATGTTTGACCTGTCCGCGTTGGGCTCGTAGTAATCTCTCGCAGCGTAGCTTCGTCTGTTGTGCTTGGGGTCGATAGTGTTGAGCTGATTGAAGCCGCCAATCGCTGAGCCGGTACGAGGATCCTTTGCGGGCGAGTATCCGGCGTTTACTACAGTCTTGGGCCACACGTCCTGGCCCCATGTAACGTCGGTTTCTGGGAAAGATATCTAGTTCGATCAGCAAGATCCATGAGTTGCCAATGACCACTGACATGGACTGGACCAGAGGTGCCGCGAAGTGATCTGTCGAGGTATTTGTCGTCCATGCCCTTTCCAAAGGTCTCTGATGCTGGGTGATATGTTTCGAACTTTTTGTAGTAGGCCTTCATATCGTCAAAGGACCAGCCTTTATTGCCGAGCTCTGCCCAGTTGTCCAGATCTTGCTTGGAAGCCATGCTGAACATATTGTAATTGATAGCTGAGCTGCCACCAAGGACTTTGCCTCGGGCCCAGCCGTGCACCCGACCGACTGTGCCCTCCTGCCAGATTGTTAGATGAAGCCAATTCCAGCACATCATGTGCTTACCTGAGGGACAGTCTTGTAGTCCCAATCATATTGTGGTTTACCCCAGAGCTGGGTGAACATGTTTGGTGCATCGATCAAGAGGTCATTCAATCCATTGCCGCCAGCTTCGAGGATAGCTACAGAAACGTCGGGGTCCTCTGTTAGACGAGCTGCAATGACCAAGCCCGCGGTGCCACCTCCAACAACGATGTAGTCTGCAAGTACCGAAGAGTTAGCAAAGAAATATACTGATAGATGTGTACGTACCATACGACTTGCTTGTCAATTCCTCCAGAGACATGTTTGATCAACAGTTGTAATATCTTGAATGATCCAAGGGTGCGTAAATTAGACCAGATTATATATGATGGCGTACTGCAGTAGTAAAGTAGTATTTCTCAAAGATCTGGAGTGCGAAGTCAAGGCTATCAGCTGGGCGGGGCTGCGCACTACTGTGCCTTTGACCTGCAGGGCTGGCTTTTGGGCTGCCACGAGGCTTGTTCGAGAACCATGTCCGCAGAACCCCCAGACCATAGCCCCATACAGTTGCAATAGGCGAGAGTACACCGACGGACCTCGTGCCAGCTCGCTCCAGGCATCCGGTCAGTACTCATTGGGCAAAGAGTAATACCAAACGGATGAAGCGAGCAGTCCATTAGCTTTCGCGGTAGTTCCAGTTCTTCGAGGCGTCCGTGTGGGGATCTAGATTGGCGATGGGTTCACGCGGGGCAGTTCTTTGTCGGCCTACCCGTGAATGTAGCTGGGTAGGCATTCAGCATTCGGTAGCCGTGATCATAGACATTCCCGCACCACATCACACATATTACTAAACCTGTTACCGGCGAGTTGAGCGTGTTTCACTTCCGCACTAAAGTTCACCCTCCTCGATAAGTCGTGATGTTACGAGAAGGCGACGAGCTGACGCAGCAGAATCCACTTGGTACGCGGCTGAACAGCCCTATGTCAGCCCTTACCTGTGGCCAAGATGGCTAGGCTACTTGCATGCGGGGTAGCTTTACGAGCTTTCGTCAGGCCCCGGGCCATGTCTCGGCCTCGTGATAGCAGATGGCGACGCAGGGCATTAGCGGGACCTACTCATTGCCAACGCAGCAGCGAAACGGCTCCGCAGGCGAGGCGTCGCTCTATTCATTCAAAATCTAAGTCGGCGACCTCGACTAATGCAAAAAGATGTGCCGAAAGATGTTGATTTGGAGCTCTGTGTGTCGTCGACGGATGCTGTGTCTAGAGCTACTTCCGATGGGATCTCGAGTGGGCTCAGATGGCCGTGGTAATTCTCCCGGCACCCGCAATCGACGGCTTTGGACAAGTTGCCCGATTCGGACCATGCCGCGGCTAGGTGCACAGACCCCCAGTCTCTGGATGCTCCACCAAAAAGTTTCTAGAGCTTGCAGCTTTCGACTTGCGACAACGAACATCCGCAATCACGCCCGGCCATGCTCACCGAACAATTCGTCGCCGCCATATCGGCATCGACTAAGCCAAACACGGGCGTCACCAAAGATGCGGGTATCTTCGTCCACGAGTTCCAGCCGCTCGTCGCCCAAAGACAGGCGCTCAAGAAGAGCGCGGCTGCGCCTAATGGCATAGCTGTGAGCGCCTCACATATCTTCGCTGCGCAGTCGGAGAAGGCGATTGTCCATGTCTACAGCAGAGAGAAGGGCAACCAAGAGGCCCTCGTGCCCTTCCCGGAGAGGATACACAGCATCGCACTCGCGGCGCAGGACAGCGTGCTGTTGCTGGGGACTGAGAGCGGGCGCATACTAGCTTGGGAGGTCAGTCATGAGTTTGGGATACTAGGTGTAGTGTGCAAGTTCTCTAATACATATCTTAGGTCTGCTCAGGCCGCCTTGTCTCTACGTCCACGTCCCATCTCCAGCCAGTCACGAGTATTGTTGTCGACCCGTCGTCCAACTTCTTCCTCTCAGGCTCCTCGGATGCCATGATTCACGTATGGGCGCTTCCCACGATACTGTCATTCTCTCCCGACGCCTCGCGTTCGCCGATGCAGACCCTCTCTACCCACCGCGGCCCCATCTCGTCCATCGCTTGCGGGCACAGCTCGAGCACAGCCAACATCGCCGTGTCAATATCAGGAGACAAGTCTGCTATAGTATGGGACTACCACAATGGCCAAGCTCTGCGCACATATCTGCTGCCTGAGATACCGACTGCAGTCACTCTTGACCCTGCAGACCGCGCATTCTATGTGGCTTACGCTGACGGCAGCTTACAAACCATCGACTTCTACGATGACGTCCAGAAGACTACTTCAATAGACGTCCTTCGAGATAGTGCCTCGTCTCACCGGCCAATTCAGCCGCCGCCAAAGAGCCGGTTCAATGCAGAGTCGCAGAAGCTCGGCGGAGCCCTCTGTCTGAGCCTTAGCTGGGACGGCACAGCAATAATATCGGGCCACGCCAGCGGCAAGATAGCACTCTGGGATACTGCAAAGTCCAACTATCTTTCCACCCCTGCCAATCTTCCTGGTCCTGTCTCAAACCTTCGATTCCTCCCGCCGACTGGCTTTCCCAACGCACCGGAACCGACTTTCAAGATCCAGGCTATTGTCAAGCCGAAACAAGATGCAG